TTCTCCTCCTGTCCCACTATCATGCTCAGTCCCCACCAGGATTTCAGCACTTCCTCTTTGTTACGTTCCCCTTGATCCTGCCCTACCAGGTCTTGGAGTACTTTTTTATTCATTCGCATCATCCCTAAGATTGGTAATGCTGACTTGGGGTACCAAAATCACCACCTTGGGTAAATTGACTTACACTTGACCCTAGAATTAATTTATCCATAGGATTTCTGTAGGAGTAGACATCCTCATTATCCCAGGGAGCACTTGGGGAGTTTGGTATGACCTTATAGCCCAATTTGTAACCCACTACTCAGTACTGCTTATATGTGCCACAGAATTAAACTTCTCAAGGATTACTATTTAGTAACGCCCTGCTAATGTTCTTAAAACTAAATATTTTGTGTATGAAAATGGTGCAAACAGTTGAAGAAGCTATTTCCTTCCTGCCATAGTTTTGTATATAGCAAGGATGGACTATTCAATAAATTACACATGGGTTTACTTATACTTAACAACTTGTATATTCCTGTTTGTCCACACAAAACACTGCCAACCGAGTCTATAACTAGGGGAGTAGAAAGCCTAGTCTTTCTCCAGCAAAGCAGTTGGTTTCAAACTGCTGAACATGCAGATTACTGCCTAATGTACAACTACTACATCAGGGAATTAAGTACTAAGTAGAAACAAGCCTTTATATATGTACTGTGCTTACTGGTTAATTTTGTCTCCTGAATGTAGGGCGGGGCACTGTTACTGTCACTGCTACCTGTAACAAATTGACTCAGCATGACCCTATAGGGCAATGATTCTCAACTTGTGGGTCATGACCCCTTTCGGGGTCGAAGGACCCTTTCACAGGGGTCACCTGATTCACAGCAGCAACATTACAGTGAGGATGTAGCAACAAAATTTTATGGTTGGGTTGTCACCACAACATGAACTATTAAAAGGGTCATGGCCTTACAAAGGTTGAGAACCATTGTGATAGGGTCAGTAGAACTGCCCCTGTGGGTTTGAGACTGCAGATGCATGGGACTAGACTCCCTTGAAGTGACTGGTGGTTTGTAGCTGCTGACTTTCCAATTAGCCCAATGTGTAATAGTCAAAATTGACTCAACAGCACCTAATAGCCTACTGTTGGTATGAGTTCAGCTGCTAACCCCAAGTTCAGTGGCTAGAGCCCACCTGCCATTCCACTGGAGAAAGATGAGATTGCTTCCATAGATTTTTGAAGTATTGGAAATCCAAAGAGGCAGTGCCACTCTGCCCTATAGGGCTGTGTTTTCTTTTGGCCTGTAATTCATCTCTGCCCATCCATAGATATATAACCTACTGACATCTAGTGGATTCTGAGTCAGCCTAGATAGGGTTTTCTGAGAAATTACTCTGGGAGCAGCCTGTCTCCTTGAGCCATGAGTGGTATTGACAATTGTTTATATTCTCTTGAAGGCATTTGGTGCGTAATGATCAACAGCTACATTTAAGACGCTAGTGTATTGTGGGATTTAATTAAATAGGTGCAAAACTGTAAGAAGGCAATAGGGTGCTGAGAATAGTGGGGTATTCATTAATGAACCCGGAGAAATTAAGGCCCGTATAGGTTGAGGAGGGAACCCTGGTGGCGTAGAGCTTTTATGTTGGACTGCAGTCTTCAAGGTAGGCATCAAGGAACGGCGAACTCGCGGAACGGGCAGACCTCTCCCAGCGTCGACTCCATGGCACCAAGATTATGGTTGAGCAGAGCATGCACCTAGATTTCTTTGACAGTCGGTGATGGCCTTGGCCGCAGCTAGCAGCGAGAGCCCAACGTCAGATTTACGTGGGGTGGAAGGGCGCGTTTCTGTGCGCCTGCGCTCTTGGCCTCCAGTGCGCCTGCGCACCGCCTCTCCCGCCTTCTTCAGCAGTGCTTTGCCTCGGGCTGCGTGAGGGGACGTCCGGAAACCCTTGCGCTGTGGAAGACTGAGGAAGATGTTGAGACCTGGGGTGTCCACCTCACCTTCTGTGCCGGTGGCTTCTCCCTCTTCAGTAGAGACATGCCCCCAGGGTCCCCGCTACAATTTCGGACTCCAGGAAGCTCTTCCGAGCAGCCCGCCAGCGCAGGGCGGCACGTCCGGAGGGGCAGGCGACAGGAGCAGCAGCAGCACGCAGCCAGGCTCCCGGCCGGCGCAAGGCAAGGAGCGGGCAGGCGGGTGGGCTGGTGAGGCGACCCCGGAAAGTGCCCTTGGTGGCCTGGCTGGAGGAGGACAAGGCTTCGCCCCTCCAGTTGGTTCTATGACAAGGCTGTGAGGAATGGCTGAGTCTGAAGAAGGGAGGAAGTTACATCCGGGATACCTTTCCTCCGACAGCATCCCAGAAAACCCAAACAACCGAACTGGGTAGAACTTCCCGTGAGCTTCCGAGTCTTTCCCCAGAAGGCAATGACAAATGACAGAATTTGTTCATGCGCTTAGAATACTGAGCCTCAACTGGACACCCCCTTACAGAAGGGTCGTGGGGAGGAGATGAGCCAGTCAGGATGCAGTGTAGCAACAATGAAAATACAACTTTCCTCTAGTTCTTAAATGCTCCCCCACCCCCACTATCATGATCCCAATTAACCTTACAAGTCTGGCTAGACCAGAGGATGTACACTGGTTCAGATAGGATCTGGAAGCGCAGGGAATCCAGGGCGGATGATCCCTACAGGACCAGTGGTGTGAGTGGTGATACTGGGAGGATAGAGGAGGGTGGGGTGGAAAGAGGGAACCGAATATAAGGATCTACATGTGACCTCCTCCTTGGGGGACGGACAATAGAAAAGTGGGTGAAGGGAGATGTCGGACAGTGTTAAGATATGACAAAATAACAATTTATAAATTATCAAGGGCTCATGAGGGAGAGGGGACCGGGGAGGGAAAATGAGCTGATACCAAGGGCTCAAGTAGAAAGAAAATGTTGAGAAGGATGATGGCAACAAATGTACAAATGTACAAATGTGCTTGACACAGTAGATGGATGTATGGGTTGGGATAAGAGTTGTACAAGCCCCCAATAAGATGATTTAAGAAAAAGAAAAGTGAGCCTCTTGACTGCTGAACTGAAGCCACCAAGTCCCCTCTAGAGGAGTATGAGAACAGATCAAGTCATCTGTTGAGGCGAATAATTGGCATAGATTTAGTATTAAAATATAAATAATTTTTATCAGCTCTTTTTAAAAATTCTGTCACTCTCCCCATGGCAAAATCATTACCATTATATCACAGGATTGAAACCCATTGGTTAGACAGCAAATACCAAATCTGTGGGTCATTTCTTTCCTTCTCATTTGGCCTTACCACCAGTATTTAGTGTTTTTGACTACACTTGAACACTCTTACTTGGATGCCCCTGTTTTTCTCCTACCTTCTAGAGAACTGGTATGCTTACTACTTTTAGTTTTCAAATTCTTGGGTTTTCCTTGGCATCCATTCCCTAGCCCGTACCCTTATTTCCTTTGCTTTTGCAGCAAAGGTATACACACATGCAAATATCCTTTGTTTCTCTCTCTCTATTCATCCATATACTCCCACTACTTAGGTACAGCCTTTCAAGTATTATAATAAAGCTATAAAATAAATATCATATCAATAGGTAAGCACATAGATAAGGAACTGATTCAAAGTGAATCTAATTTAAAACTCTTTACTATTAATTTGCATGGCAGGAGATAATTTCAGTGAGAATTTGTTCCATGTTTACCCATAGATTCCTTCAGTATTACAACTCAGAGCTTGAGTTTTTTTTCTTCAATTCTTTGAGTTTGAGAAATACCAAATCTGTTCTTCCCTGTTTTCTAACCCTAAGCCTTTGTACCTTTCATCATAATACTTTAGTTTGTCAAGCCACCCTTTGAAAACTTCTGTTCAGTACTTTTACTTAATCATTTGTACCGTTCCCTGTAGCTACCGTTCACTCTTTCAAAGAGAAAGCTTCCTTTGTATTTTAGTATAAGGTTATTTAGCAATAATACTAAATTTATCATAATTTGCTATATTTAAAAAAAGCAGAATGAAGTTTTATTTAAAATAAAGATAATATAAATTATAGGGATTAATACATCATTAATTACTTAACATTAAATCTTTAAGAATTGACACTTAAGTTTTCTCATTTAGGTTCATCCTTTGAGAATAGAAGAGCTCATGCAGAAGGTACATTTGCATCAAATTTTACTTTTGTTACAAGCTCATCTTCTACCCGAGACCCTAATCATCCTCAAATACTAAAAACTCCATTGACTGCTGGAAATGCTCAAAGATCAGGTCATAGAAATTGGACACCTCAAGTGGGATATTCAGGTAAATGTACCAGAAGATTGACCTAAATGGCATTTTGTAACTTACAGTTTTGCAAAGTATAATGTAGGTGTTTAGATTTATATGAAGTTATTTGTAACTGATAATCTGGGTGATAGAAAGATAAATATATCAATTTACTCTTTGGGGCTGAGTTAAGAAACCTATGTAATTTGTAATATTTGTTAAGTGTCTGTCTTAAACCATTGAGACATTAAGCACAAGAAAGAGAAAGCTCTCCCTTTAAAATTATTTTATCTGTTATTAATATAACAGCACTGGCCACCTTGCGCTTTTTTCCCCCTTGTTCTTATTAAAAACAGTCTTGATCTTCTTGTGCGTTGCCTTTCCATGTCGAGTATGAGTATCTCATTAAGTTTCTCTCTTTCTCATGCTTTTACACACACACGCATATACACGCAGAGACATAAAAAGACATTGAGAATGAATGGAATTGTACTTGTATTGAATCAATTGATCCTTCTAAGAATGTTTGAAATACTGAGGCTTTCTACTGTGAACAGTGGCTCTACATTTACTTGTGTTTTTCCATAAAGTTTTATAGTTCTCTATATGGATGTTTCATACATTTTGACTAGATTTATTGTTATGGTACCTTATAATTTTTGTGGCTATTGGTCTTTTAAAATACTATATTTCCCAAATGCTTATATCTGGTATACAGAAATGCAGTATACTTTTATTGATTGTTTTTTGGTCACTTTGCCATAATCTTACTATTTTTAGTACTTTTTGATCCCAGTTTCTGTTAAGATCAAATATCTAATATATAATATTAGATTCAAATATCTAATAATAATAATAATAAGCAACTGCATAATATCTCCCTAGTTAGTGTATCTTGCATCATCTCATGTTACTTCTTTATTTGTATTCTGTGTTTCAACCATTCTGAACTTTTTCTAGGACTTTAAACATGGTACCTCATTCTCAGGCTTTTGTTCATGGTATTTCCTTTGCTTTAGAAAACTCTCTCTCCTGATTGATATATTTAACTATTATTTATTTAGTCCTCAAATATAAGCTTATAAAAAGTAGTTAAATATTTAAATAATTAAATATTACTCAGCCACTGAATTTGATCCTACCAGCTGCTCTGTGGGAGAAAGATGTAGCAGTCTGCTTCCATAATGATTTACAGCCTTGAAAACTCCATGGGGCAGTTATCCTCTTCTATATCACTGTTATAAGCTGGAATTGATTTGATGTCATTAAATAAACTTAGCTGTAACCTGTTTGGAAAATTTCATTTGACCCTCGTAAATCTGAGTTAATGTGTTACGTGCTCCCATTTTGCTCTGATTTTTACTGAAATTTCTATTTTAGTTTCTTATTTCTCTGCTGGACTATAAACTCTCTGAAGGCAGAGCTTAGCATCTAGACCCAATCAAAAGATGAAACCACATGGTAAATCAAACAGAGGCACTATCACATAAAGAATTGTTAAACTATTATTATTGGAGAGTGCATTTAGAATATAAGACAACTGTTTATGACACCTTAGGACTGAGAGAAAATACCAAGGAAGGACTGATTAGAAAACAAGCAGGGTGGGTGAGGAGCAGGTGGTAACTGACATTTGAGTGTGCAGTGGGGATGGAGGTAGGTGTCAGTGTCTGCATACCTCCTTGTCAGGAGGATGGTGGCATCAAGAGGATTGTGGGAGAGAATCCTTCTATTGGAAGAAGATGAAAGAGCAGAGGGAATCGGACACCTGCTGCAGGCAGGAGGACTAGTGTGTAAGGTGTTTGTATTGAGAATATGGTGGGAAGGTGATCACTGTGCCATGTTGGCACTATGAAATTGATGAGGGACATCACATTCTGGGTGGGCAACTGGCACAGAGCACAGCTGATGTCATCACATCCACATTGCTGACTCACAGTTTTGTAGCTGGAAAATGCAGTACAGAGCCCCTTCATCCTAGAAGGTTATTCTCCAAGAGTCCTTGACAGGTAGTTGATATGACCCTTTTAGGCATAATCCTTTATGTGACATAAATATTAGCTTTTATGCCTGTGATTATAATCCTATTTTGAAAAGCATTCTCAGAATTCGATGCGATAGATGCTGAGTGTCCACCTTACTAGAAGGTGTGAACCAAGTCATCACCCTTTGTTTCTTTGGGGGTGTTGTTTACAGAAAGACAAAAACAACACCTCCTTCAAAACCACTCCTCTATGTGTAAGAATGAGGCATCTCCTGGGACCATCAAGAAGAGCTACCAGTGGAGTATGTTCAATATCCCTAGCTGAAGTACCAGGTAGGCATCTGGTAGACCAGAGGCATCAGAAGCTGTGGCATGGAGACCATGGGACAGAGCAAAGGAGCCAGGCTGAGATCAGAGGCCAAGGCAAAGAGACCATAAGACAGAACAGTTACAGCATGGAGACTACGAGACTGGGTGTCAGAGTACGTGAGGTAGACACCAAGGGTGGTTGAGAGGCTGAGGACCAGAGAGAGCCATGGCTATTGTCAGAGTAGAAGTGTTGCTCTGGGACAATAACTGTATCCTTACTGTTTAATGATCTTGACTTGTGGTGAACTGTTAACTTCCCTAATAAACTCTCATAATTGTAATTTTTGTCTGTCAGTTCTGTGTGATCAATTGCAATGAATTATGGAACCCAGTAGAAAAGAAGAATGTCATGGAGGAATGGTTTTTGTCAGAATAAGTAGATAGAGGAAAGAGGCATGTTTTAACCCCTGCTCCTGGCATAGGCCATGGGCTGGTGAGAAACTTGATTCTTCTTCTTTGTAGCCAGAGGAGGTCCGATGTGGCCTCTGCCATTTCAGTGTTCTATTGAGAAAGCTTAGCATCACGTTCACTTAATGTGGGGTCCCAGCTCCCACAATCAAATGAGCCCAAGGGGTGGTTATGTAATTGAGGGGTAAATTAAAAGAGACATCAGACAAGATAAGGCATGCTAGACTCACCTGCATGACTGCCATGACTTCAGGAGCCAGGTCTGTGCAGAGAAAGAATATATTTCCAACCAAGGCTTATATACACTCTAGGGGCACTCAAGCCTCACTAATTACAGGTAACCACATACCTAACAGTGGGCTGTACCCCAAACCTAAAGGTCCCTGCGTACATTGGGGGAGTAACCTAACACCAGTGCCGGGGGCAGGTAAGAGGGAGTGACTGTCTTCAGAGTCTAGAGAGCAATAGCACATGTCTACCTCTAAAGTTAAAGCTGCTAGCTAGATGGCAATCAGCCATGTAGTTGTAAGAGGTAACCTTAAGGTAGCACTATTATGGGAAGATATAGTGGGGAACAATATTAATTATGAGAATGTGATTGGGACTCATCCAACTCATGGGTGAAGGACTCCCTCGACCCCAGAAACCCAGCCTGCCAGGCTTCTTTTTTCTTTTCAGGTTTCTTAATACATGAAAATATAGGATTCATCCATATACACTCTCTTCCCTTTCTCAGCTTCCCACATAAAAATGCTTAAAAGAATTTTGTCCATCATTCCAGAGTTTATATTGAAGGATAAATTTCGAGCTGAGGGATAATAAATTATTAATTGGCATAGACTACCCTCCTGACTACTCATTTTCCATATATATTCTTCAATGTATAAAATGGAGGAGCCCTGCTGGTATAGTGGTTATGTGCTAGGCTTTGATCCACATGGCAGTTCGAAATCACCAGCACCTCCTGTAGGCAGTTATAGTCTCAGAAAACCACAGGGAATCAACTCAAAGGCAGTTTTTGGTATATATTTAGTCTTATTAAAACAACTTTAGATTTGTATCTGACTAATTATATATATGTTTTTTACAACAAAGAATTCCATACTCATCCCCAAAATGAGAAGGCTCAGTTCCAGTATGTATCTAACATAGGCTGGATCATCTCAAATTCAATCATAAGTCCACTAAATACTGTGTTGCCTAAAGAGTAAATTGTAAAATTAACCTGAAATATCTTTTAGAACTACTCTATAGGGAGTGATCTTTGAGAAGCAGTTTGTTAAGAAACAAAGGCCTCTTTTGTCTACTATTTGAGCACTGGCTGTTTAAACCCACTGCCAGAGCTCATTCTGACTCAGTGACCCTACAGGACAGCATAGAACTGCCCCTTTGGTTTTCTGAGTCTGTTAATCTTTATGGGAACAGAAAGCCTTTTTGTTTCCTCTCCAACAGAAAGCACACTGATCTGTCTCAATGTGACTGGTGAATTCAACTAACTCACTATGCCACTAGGGTCCCATTAGTATATACAAATAAACACATGTATGTAGAGGAAATACGTGAAGCTACTGTAGTCTTTGATTCAGTAATAGGTCATATCACAGTTTATATCTAAGGCTTCCTTTAAGTATTCCTTCTCTACCTTCAGCCCTATGTGTAGCTGCTATGGGGTTTTTTATTTGTTTGTTTTTAACCTGGTGGAGTGACCCAAGGCATCATTTCTAAAGGGTCTAAGTACTCAGTCATCCTGCCTTTTTTGGGGGTGGTGGGGTGCTATAATTTTCCATTGTCCTTAAAAAGGAAGTAGGAAGAAGGGCTGCAGAAACTCCCTGGGTCCAGACGAAGGCCCCTTTGTACTATTGTATCTAGCAACATGATTTCTTTTTGTTTATCGGGACCAATAACTCAAGCCAAGGGAAGACTCCCAAACCAAACTCAGTGCCATGGAGTCAATTTTGACTCATATCAACCTTACAGGACAGAGTAGAACTGCCTCCTTGGGTTTCTGAGGTTGTAAACCTTAATGGGAAAAGACGGCCTCATCTTTCCCCTGTGGAGTGACTGGTAGTTTTGAACTTCTAACCTTGTGATTTGCAGCCCAGAGCATAACCCACTATATCATCAGAGCGCCTTAGAAAACTTCCCTCGGCAAGAGGTAAGATTCCCTTGCTTCTTGGCCTTTTAAGTGGAGGGCACCAGTGAGGTCCTGCCCTTACCTCCTGCCTCCTCTGCCTCCCACCCATCTTGGCTTTGAAGCCAGCATTGCATTCAACCC